TTTATTTTATTTTATTTTATTTATTTTATTTACTGTATATCCCGCCTATCTGGTCGGTTAATGGCCATCTGAGAGACTGTAGGACGGTCCTTTAGGGCCAGGAGAAACTATGCATACAACTTTCTGTCAATGGATGGGAAAGCTGGCCATTTCAGGAGAGCCCACTCTCAAGGTCTTGTATTCTGGGCTCTGGCTTTCCCCCCTCCCAGCAGGGACAAGGTAATCAGCACGCCCTGACACCTTCTGCTCAGACCCTTTTGTTGTTAAATCCTGAATCAGTCCAGAAAATGTCTCAACTGAGTTTTGATCTGACTGTGGATGAAAGGGCTGACCTGGCACATTAGAGACCTGAGTGGGAAGGGTAGTCCCCCAGGTTACTCCATCCAACATCAGGTTAAACTGGAAGTGCATGGGACGGGTCACCCTTGTGTTTAGAAATTCCATCAAGGTTAGCAGATTTGCCACCTTGGCTTGTGCCGGGTTGGACTACCTCCACCTGTCAGTGGACCAATGGGACAGAATTGGGGTAGTCCTACTGTACTGTTCCCCTTGCAACTCAAATTCTTGGGTTTTTTGTAGGGGTTGTTTTTATACCAGAGGACACTGGTTGAGGTAAGGAGAAGACTTGGAAGTTGGCATCCCTCCATCCCCTGGGCTCATAACTGTTTTGGGTCTCTTTTCTGGCTTGCAAAGTCTCTTCAGATCCTTAAGATAACAATAGCACTCACTGCCAGAGACAGTGTCTCTGTGTCATACAATGAGTTATGTGGGAAGACCTGTGGATGCTGAGCCTCCAGCACATCTCTAGGAGAACCCTTTTGGCAACATTTTGTTTTGTTTTTATATTCCTTCTCCCCTATATTTTAATACCGTATAACCCTACCAAATCATCCCCTGCCATTCTAATTTATTGTGATATTGTGGCCAGTCCCTGGCAGCTTTGGGGAGAAATTGTTAACTTGGGTCTTTTTCTACTTATGGAGGGATGTGTTTTGATAGGACGGAAAACAGAGTTGGGGAGCAGCTAATGGAATTGTTTGGGACAAGAGAAAATGTGGTGGGGAATGTCAGCTGCAGCATCTCTGCTGGATTACTGCAACACACTCCATGTGGGGCTGCCTTTGGAAAGTGTATGGAAAATCCAGTGGGTCCAGAATGGTGCAGCCAGGTTGTTAACTGGGGCTGATTAGAGGAAATGTATTACTCACCCGTTGCACCAGCTCCATTGGCTGCCAGTCTGTTTCAGGACACAATGCGAAGGGGTGGCTTTAACCTATAAAGCCCTAAATGGCCTGAGTCCAAGCTGTCTAAAAGACTGGGGCAGGATTTAGGCTTTCCTCTGAACTAGGCCAGAGAAAGACAGGGCCAAACTACACAGTACTCACTGAGCTTGCTTTTAGATATGGAGCCCCTTTACTGAGTAAAAGGCATCGGCTTCTCCTAACCCAACCTTTCCTCAGTTCTACATCTTGCATATTAATTTGCTTTGTTTTGTGATTCATCATTGGGAAGATAAGACCCTCGTATGGGTTCAAGGCAAGAAAGCATGCAGAAAGTTGCAGGCAGCAGCCTGAGTGAGCTGCAAGGACATTGGTGTTGCCTGGTGGGAACTGGTGATGGTGTGGGCTGACAACGGCTGAAGGATTAAATTTGTACTTGTTTCACTCCAGTATTTCCTAACAGAGCACATAAAAACAATACAGGTTTTTAAAGATTTCCCCCTCATTGAAACAGAGCTCCTGCAATGCCACCCCTTCTGCTTCTGGAAGGAAAGACTGGGAGGAAGATTAGTTGGAAATGATAGGAAGGCACCCAAAGGTGGAACAAGGGGTCACCATGCTACGAAGGGTGTTCTGCTTACCTCCTCCTCAGCATTTTCAACCCGAAGCAGTTTAGCATTCTGTCTCATACAAAATTTTCTTGATTCAGTCCAGTTCTGTGGTTGAACAACAAATAAATAGATTGCATCTTTATGGGCCATCCAGTCATGATTCAATTTGTAACGAATTTTGACTTTCATCCAAGTCAGATTATGAGAACAAAGAGACAAGAAGAAGTGTTTAGTAGATATCTGTTTGTATGCCTCTCTAAATGTTACAAAATAAAGTTGGAATACATTTTCCCATAAAACACACAGCATTAACCAGAAAATCAGAAGTGTTTATTATAATGAAAACACTTTGCCTATTTGAATTGCGATCTCATTCATAAATATTCACGAAGGCTTTCACGGCCAGGATGTAATGGTTGTTGTGGGTTTTTCGGGCTTCTTGGCCATGTTCTGAAGGTGGTTTTTCCTAACCTTTCGCTAATTCCACCCATACATCCTGTCCTTGCCCCAGTATTAGCTAGGAACTTTCTTTCTAAGCAGGAAGTTTTGGCAGACATAATTTGGAAGTTTTTGAACAGAATTTTGGAAAATAGTAGTCATTATTCATATGCTTCCCTGTTCTATTTTTTTGAATCCATCATATTTTTAAGTGATTTCCAGCTTATCTACAGTTTATTGCTACAAACATACCACTAGCAGCATTATATACGAGAAAATAATGCATAAGGATGTCTAAAGCATGACAATTCATGTTCCAATAAACAGCATACGTTTATTTCTCTAAATCTATTTTGTGGCTCACTTGCTCCTCACGCCATTTCTAATGTGCTATCTTATATATGGTCTCATCCATGCCCATTCATACTAATATTATATAGTGGTGCAATTGGAAGATTCCACATACAAAGAATAGCTTTGTTGCAGTAGTTAACAAGCAGGTGGAGTTATACAGTATATCACAGAAGTGAGTACACCACCTCACATTTCATAAACATTTTAGTATATATTTTCATGTGACAACACTGAAGAAATGACACTTGGCTACAATGTAAAGCAGTGAGTATACAGCTTGTATAACAGTGTAAATGTGCTGTCCCCTCAAAATAACACAACACACAGCCATTAGTGTCTAAATCGGTGGCAACCAAAGTAAGTACACCCCTAAGTCTCAGGTGTCCAAATTGGGCACAAAGTGTCAACATTTTGTGTGGCCACCATTATTTTCCAGCACTGCCTTAACCCTCTTGGGCACAGAGTTTCCCAGAGCTTCACAAGTGTCCCCCGGAGTTCTCTTCCACTCCTCCATGACGACATCACAGAGCTGGTGGATGTTAGAGACCTTGCGTACCTCCACCTTCCATTTCAGGATGCCCCACAGATGCTCAATAAGGTTCAGGTCTGGAGACATGCTTGGCCAGTCCATCACCTTTACCCTCAGCTTCTTTAGCAAGGCATTTGTCATTTTGGATGTGTGTTTGGGGTTGTTATCATGTTGGAATACTGCCCCGCGGCCCAGTCTCCAAAGGGATCATGCTCTGCTTCAGTATGTTACTGTACGTGTTGCCATTCATGATTCCCTCAGTGAACTGTAGCTCCCAGTGCCGGCAGCACTCATGTGACCTCAGGCCATGCCACTCCCACCACAATGCTTGACTGTAGGCATGACACGCTTGTCTTTGTACTCCTCACCTGGTTGCTGCCCACACGCTTTACACCATCTGAACCAAATAAGTTTATCTTGGTCTCATCGGACCACAGGACATGGTTCCAGAAATCCATGTCCTTAGTCTGCTTGTCTGCAGCAAACCATATACAGGCTTTCTTGTGCATCATCTTTAGAAGAGGCTTCTTTCTGGGATTACAGCTCTGGAGACCAATGTGATGCAGTGTGTGGCGTATGGTCTGAGCACTGACAGGCTGACCCCCCACTCCTTCAACCTCTGCAGCGATGCTGACAGCACTCATATGTCTATTTCCCAAAGCCAACCTCTGGAAATGACGCTGAACACAAGCACTCAACTTCTTTGGTCAACCATGGCGAGGCCTGTTCTGAGTGGACCCTGTCCTATTAAACTGCTGTATGGTCTTGGCCATCATGCTACAGCTCAGTTTCAGGGTTTTGGCAATCTACTTATAACCTAGGCCATCTTGAGGTAGAGCAACCATTCATTTTTTCAGATCCTCAGATCATTCATGACCATGAAATGCCATGTGGAACTTCCAGTGACTAATCTGAGAGAGTGAGAGCGAGAACATCTGCTCTCCCTTCACAACTGAGACTTGTCTAATGACACCAGGGAGGGAAAATGGCTACTTGGGCCCAATTTGGACATTGTCACTTAGGGGTGTACTCACTTTTGTTTCCAGCTGTTTAGACATGAAATGTGAGGGGGTGTAATCACTTCTGTGATATACTGTAAGTCTTCCTGGTGAGCACTAGTGATCACTCTCTCCCTAGATGTCGAGCTGGATAAACACATTGGCAAAGCAACTACCATGTTCTCTATAATCACGAGGAGAGTATGGCTTAATAAGAAGCTGATGGCATATACCAAGATCCAGGTCTATAGAGCCTGTGTCCTGAGCACACTGCTGTTCTGCAGTGAGTCCTGGACCCTTTGTTCATGCCAGGAGAGGAAGCTGAACATGTTCCATATGTGTTGTCTGCGATGTATTTTTTGTATTACCCGGCAGGACAAAGTTCCAAATAGAGTAGTCCTAGAACAAGCTGGATTTTTAAAGCATATATACATTACTGAAACAGCAACATCTACATTGCCTCGGGAATATCATGAGAATGGCTGATGGTCGGATTCCAAAAGATCTCCTGTAGAATTAATGCAGGGAAAGCGCCCCAGAGGGAGACCACAGCTACGATCCAAGGACATCTGCAAGCAGGAACTGAAGGCCTTAGGAATGGACCTCAACAGATGGGAAACTTTGACCTCTGAACGTTCAGCCTGGAGGCAGGCAGTGCAGCATGGCCTCTCCCAATTTGAAGAGACGCTTATCCAGCAGGCCGAGGCAAAGAGGCTGTTCCGAAAGCAGAAAAATCAGGGAGCTGGACAGGGGACAGATTGCATTTGTCTTCAGTGTGGAAGGGGTTGTCACACTCAAATTGGCCTTCTCAACCACACCAGACGTTGTTCCAAGACCTCTATTCAGAACACATTACCACAATCTCTCAAGACTGAAGGATGCCTACAGGCAAGTCCTGGTGAACAACATCTACATTATCTCAGAAATATAATTTTAGGAGATGAATCTACTTCATAGCCTTTGTATATTTTGTACTTTTAAAAATTTGCTGCCCAAAATTGCATATCTAAAATTTCATTCAAATCTATGTAGCAAATTTGCACCCACTGACATCTGCAATATCTCTCCTCTTGACTTAGTAATACATCGTATTTAAATGTGAAGGGAGTAAACAATCCCTATAAGATTCATTGAGATGCATCTTACAATATAATGGCTTAAGCTTTTGTACTTCTCCAAGGTAGTTATCTCTGGAGGGCCACAGGGATACCCCCAACTCCAGGACTCACAGAAAGAACAACACTCTTCAGTTGTGGTTTTTTTCAGCCAAGGCAGATTTAGTGTGAATCCTACCATGACACCAGCATTGAATTTCATTGGCATCGCAATCTTAAAGTAACTCACTTATTTCTTCTTCCAATTGACTAAGCATTACAGCCAGTACAGCTAACTCTTCTGCAACCTTGTCTGCATCAAAAATTGTTTCAATATCTAAAATGAATTGCAATAGTTCAAGTCAGGGGAATTTCTCTTGAGTTGTCTTTAAAGCACTTCCTACCATTACTGTTATGTTTTGCACAGAATGGGAGTGTGTACACCCACATCCATGTGCACACCCTTATGCACATGCTATAATTTATGCTTTTACCAGTTGGGATGGGTTGCCTGTTTTTCTGGGTACGGGAGGAGAATGTTTGTGGCATGGGTGAGTGTTTTGCCCAGAAGCAAGCCTTTGCACAATGGTTTGACTTTAGGTGGCCCAACTCCACCACTTCAAAAACTTTCCCCAATGCTCCCTTTTTGGACTACAGATCACAAAATACCCCAGCCAGGTGGCAATTGGAAAATGCAACATTTCCAAGGTCTGATCTAAACACGGAAGGAGGCCCAAAAGAGTACAGTTTCTGTGCCTGCACTATTTTTGAATGCTGTCCATTTTAAATGTTTTGGGAAGGACATGTCACAAGCTACATCAGCTACCTACAGCACACTTCAGCAGAGATGGATGAGCTCTCTCTAGTTCTCCTTTGAAATCATGTCAGATTCTTTTTAAAAGCATACCTGTCCAAAGTCACCAATATTCTTATTACCAGGTTTTACACATTTCTTTCATGCCAAGACTAAGAGATTTACCCTAACATTTTTAGTTTTTTGCAGGGGGTAGAGGATTCCCAGAAAGTGCATAGTCCCAGAAAGGAGAAGTACAGTATAAGATTTGCAGTCCAGAAGTCCAAAGTGTGCATCCCAAAAACACAACACAGATATTAAGTAGAGCTAGCTCCAGGGGTATGTTAAGAATCTCTCTGAAAGGTCAGCTCTGGAGCAGGCAGGAAAGAATGAGGCCAGGAGCTTGCTTTTCCACTGGGAGGGCATGCTAATCGGTTTGCATGTTGTTGCCTGGCAGACAGGAGTGGCTTCTCAGAAAAAGGCGAAATAACACCCTCTCCCTATTTCCTATCGATTCTTTCCTTGTTTCTCTGCAAGGTTGCAGAGCAAAAATGCACTGTTGGTTTGCATGAAGGAAGCTCCAGTTTGGAATCCTAAGCTGCAGAAAACAGACCCTTATTGCTCAAGCCAACAGCGCATTTGACCTCCCAGCACTGCGGATTGTGCGATTACAGTGCCTGTGCTGGGGAAGATGCACTGGGGCACTTCCAGACCAACAGTCATCAGGTAAAGATAGCTTGAGGTCTGGGGGTGTTTATTAGCATCTGGCCGTGTTCCTACTGTCTGGTGACCGCTGAAACTTGGGTCTGGGGACTCACCCATTCCTTGATCGGGGGGTGTCAGCATACCCCTGCCTTTCAGCTGTTTCTGCACTACAGCAGGCTCCCTCTTTTGCCAAAGGATGGCAAATTTCATATTTGGATGTTATCAATAAAGTGTGGCCCATATTTAACCCATATTACTGTCTCATGTCTTTATTCCAGGGTTGGGACGGCAATGAGTCCGGGAGGTTGCTTTTGCAATGGGAGGGCATGCTAATTGGCTTGTATGTAGTTGCCTGCCAGAAAAGAGTGGCTTCTTCTATGGAAAAATGAGAAATAACACCCTCTCCCCCATTTTCTATCGATTCTTTGTTTCTCTGCAAGGTCGCACAGCAAAAACAAACTCTTGGTTTGCATGTAGGGAGCTCCAGTTTGGAATCCTAGGGTGCAGAAAGCAGACCCTTGTTGCTCAACCAGCTGATTACCTTCCTGAAGGTAATGCTGTGGATCCCATGAGATGCTCTCTCTCCCTCTATGCAGCCTCTCATGCCCTCATGTATTTTCTGCCACTGGATGGAACAATGTCCTGAAAAAAGAGAGGGGTTAGAGGGGTCTCTAGGCATTGTGCTCTGCATGATGGCTCCTGGCTTGTGCAGGAATATCATCTTCTCCTGACTGCTGACTCCATCTTCTCTTCCTCAGGCCGAACTGTGTTGTTCTCTGGCACCATAGAATCATGAAGTTAGAACGGGGCCTATAAGGCCATCGAGTCCAACCCCCTGCTCAGTGCAGGAATAGAAATCAAATGATATCTCCCAGGTGGTTGTCTAAATTTCTCTTGAATGCCTCCAGTGTTGAAGCACTTGGCACCTCTTGAGGTCATTGGTTCCATTGCTGGTCTGCTCTAACAGTTGGGACGTTTTTTCCTGATATTCAACTGAAATCTGGCTTCCTTTAGCTTGAGCCCATTGTTGTGTGTCCTGTACTCGGAGATGATTGACAACAGATCTTGCCCCTCCTCTGTATGACAGCCTTTCAAATTTACCCCACCCCTCTAAATCTGGCTTCCTGTAACTTGAGCCTATTGTTGCATGTCCTGCATTCTGGGATGATCGAGAACAGGTCCTACCCCTCCTCTTTATGACTATTTTTCAAGTATTTGAAGTGTTATCAGATCTCCCCTCAATCTTCTTTTCTTGAGACTAAACATACCCAGTTCTTTCAATCTTCCCTCATAGGGCTTCATTTCCAGTCCCCTGATCATCCTTGTTGCCCTCCTCTGAACTTGCTCCAGTTTGTCGGCATCCTTCTTTAAGTATGGTGTCCAGAACTAGACACAGTACTCACGGTGAGGTCTAACCAGTGCTGGAGAGAGGGGGACTAGCACCTTGCAGGATTTCGAAACTATAGTTCTATTAGTGCAGCCTAAAATAGCATTTGCCCTTTTTGTAGCCACATCACACAGTTGCCTAATATTCAGCTTGACATACAATAAATCCAAGATCCTTTTTACTCATAGTGTTGATGAGCCAGGTATCCCCCATTTTGTAGTTGTATGGTTTCTTTTTCCTAGTTGCAATACTTTGCACTTATCCCTTTTGAATTTCATCATGGTTTTTGTTTCTCAAGCTCAGTGCTTAAGCCTATATAGATTATTTTGAATTTTGATCCAGGTGTTAGCTATTCCACCCAATTTTGTGTAATCCACAAATTTGATTAGCATTCCATGTATCCCCTGATCTAGGTCAGTAATAAAAATATTGAATAGTGCTAGGCCCAGGACTGAGCCCTGGCATACCCCACTTCTTACTTCCTCCCAGTTTGAAAAGGAGCCATTAATCATCACCCTCTGAGTATGATTCTCAATGCCAACTGTGTATCCATTAGATTAGCAAATTGTTCTAACTAGCCCACACCTAGTTAGCTTGCTAATCAGAATATCATGGGGCACTTTTTCAAAATCTTTGCTGAAGTCAAGATATATTATGTCTACAGCATTCCCTCTGTCAGGGAGGTTACCTGATTAAAAAATGAAATCATTAGTTTGACAGGATTTGCATTATTTATTATTGCATTATTTTCTAGGTGGTTGCATATAGATCACTTTATAGTCTGTGTTATACCATAGTCTCTCGAGACTGAAGGATGCCTACATAGTCTGTGTCAAGATTTTCCCAGAATTGATTTCAGGCTGACTGGTCTGTAATTCCCAGGTTCGTCCTTTTTGAAAATAGGTAAAACATTAGCCCTTCTCAAGTCATCAGGCACCTCACCCATTTCCCATGATTTCAAGAAAATAATGGACAGTGGTTCTGAGGGTTCTTCAACCAGTTCCTTGGGTAGAGTTCATCCAGCCCTGGAGATCTGAACTTACTATTTGTTTCTCAATCTCTAGCCTAAAGGAACCATTAGAAGGTGTAAAGCAGAGATGTCCAACAGGCATTCAGAAAGTGGCAGAACCTTCTGTGGTGAATGTGGTGACTGGGCCAGCAGCAGTCACTGCAGTGAGGGATGTGACCAACTCATGGACAAATGTGTGGGTGTGGTCAGTTGATGTGGAAAGACCTCACTCTGACCCCTAGTGAAGGGCGATGACTGCCTGTGTTTGCATGGACGAAGGAAAATGTGATGAATGGAGGAAGAGGAAAGAAGGAGAGAGTAAGGATTTGAACTTCTCTCACCTTCAGTAAAAGGGGTGTCTCATCATTTTGAGAAAACTTGTCAAAATTATGGGTAATCACCGCAACATTTTACTCCTACCCAAGAGCAGAAAGACCAGCCTTTTTTAAAATGAGCATAAAGCTGTGTAAAAATACAGCAACCCCCCTATATATGGAAAATGTGTATTTTGTGTGAAAAAGCTTGGAGTTTGTGCAAAACCCAAGTCTTTCCATATGGAACATGTCAAAGATAATTTGCACACTGAGGCAGAACAAGACCTATGATAATCAGCAGCCGTACTTCACAGTGTGCAAAATGCTGAATCATGCAGTCTAGGACGATGCACTGTCCACACTGATTGGCTGTATGTAAATGTGCATGTTTATAACTGTGTGGACATGTGGCGAAGATGTAGGCCCTCTTCTAATGAATGTCATGTTGTCAAGCTGCTGGTTTGTACTGCTGAACTTCTATATATACTGTAAATACACTTGGGGTTGGAAGCAGCTGTCTTTGTCTGTATGAATCAACTGGACTGCCTGGACTGGGACAAAAACTCTGCTTACTTACACCAACAAGGGGTTATGGGCCCAGAGACATCTGCCTTGCGCCAGAGAAGCCAGTGAGTGGCAGACGGTACCACAGAGGCCAAAGGAACCAGTCCAGAAGTGGAGAATGTCCAGTAAGGTGAGCATCCTGCCATTCAGAGCCCAGGAGGGATAAAGGACAGAGGACAAAGATAAAAAGGCAGCAAAATGCAGTCAGTTGGGGCCGCAGGAATGCGAGGATTCCCTCTCACAAAGCTAAATGAACGGAACTATCTGACTTGATCAGTTAAAGCCGAAATGCTGCTGAGAAGGGAGGGTTTGTGGAAGATTGTATCCAATCCCCCCACTGTCCTAAATGAGGAACAGACAAAGCAAAATGAGAAGGCTTTAACAACAATAGTTCTGTGCTTAGAGGACAGCCAGTTAATGCACGTGCATGGACTGACCTCAACTAGGCAGTGCTGGCAAGCTCTGCATTGTGTCTATGTTCGGGACTCTGCTGGAAGCAAAGTTGCTTTGACACAAAAATTATACAGAGCAAGGCTTGACCGTGATGGAAGCATGTCAGAACACT